AGTTTAAGATTAATCTCTCCATTTTTTAACATTGGATCTATCACTGCCAACACTTTTTGTAAATGTTCATCACATGGATTGATACCACTGGTTATCTCTCTATAAGCATTCGTTTCATGCATGTACTGCAATGCTTTTTTCTGATAATCAGTTGCACTACCTAAATGAAGTACTTTACTTTTGTCTGTTGGTCGTATAATAACATTTGACTTTTTAATTTTACGTCGAGTACTTTTAACAAGTCGATATTCATATTGAGCACGAGTAAATAATTTCGGAGATAAAGGTGTTGTATATAATCGACGAAGAAGATTGTTAACATCTGTAAAGAATTCTTTTGCTTGTTGATTAGAAGACGACGTACAATTATTGAAAAACCCCTTATCAAAACATTTAACAATATTCTGATATTCTCGACTAATAATTTTATCGATGTTTTGGTTGGGAAAACGACTTTGACAAGGTGGTACATATTTAGGACCATTAGTAAGACAAGAGAATTGTTTGGATGAAAGAGAACAAGCTACTTCGATAATAGGTGATGATGGAAGAATATGACTGAAAATATCCATTACATTGCTCCGACGGTACCAGCCATGTTTACTACCATCGGAGCGTCGTCGAAAACCGATAATTTTTGTTTAAGAATAAGTTGACTACGTTGTACTATATTACTTTGACGTGCTGCAATAGCATTCATTAATTCAATGAGTGATTTAGGAATAGGTATTTGTCCGTTTGCACTATCAATTAACTTTTTCTTTTCATTTGCAATAATATTTGTATGACTTCGAACTGTCTCTTCAGCTGTACTAATAGTTAATACCATTATATCATATTTAAATTGTGCAATTGTTTTAAGTCGACGAAATGATAATGTTGCACGTTTATCTTGATTGATTGCTGGTTGTTTTAACATATTTTCCATTTGATCAATAGAATGATCAAGAATACTAAAAGATGAAGGTAATCGTTTAGCATAGATACGTTGTTTAAGAATGGCGACATCTTCTTCAGCTTGTAGTTTATCTTTTACAGCTTGCCAAATAATTTTAGCAGAACGAATCTAAACAATGATATTGTTTTTTGTATATAAAATTATGAATTATATTTCAAGCATACCTGATTTTCAGTTGGTTTCAAATGATAAAATGCTTTAACAAAACGATGATCATTAGCATCATATTGTACTATTAATTTTTTTCGTTCAAATTCTTTCGATAGTTTATGTTGACCTTGACGAACAAAAGCAGTAAGAATTGCTGATAATTTATTCATATCAAAGGATCTATTCATTGGCTGTTGCTTGTGTTGATCCAGTTTATTTTCTGCTTCCCGTAATCGTTTAACAATCAGTGCATAATGTCGTTCAAGTTGAATTTTTGTTTTAAATTTAAATCGACAAAGATTATTCTGTTTAGCCATATCTTTTACCATAGGTACAGACCAAATATCTTCCGACATACATACAGTATTATAATGTTCCCAAAAGTTTTCTTCTAATTTGAGATAAAAGACATTATTAAGTAAATGAGTATATGTACGGACGAATTGTAATTTTTCTGGTGTGTCTAATAATAATTCAATGATATTCTGTTCTCCTACCAATGCTTTTGATAACATATCTTTAAATATTTGATCAGGCACTTTTAAATATTTAGGTTTATTATCTGTTACTGTTGGATTGTTGTCAGTTTTCTTCTTACTTATAACATTGTTTTTCGTCGTAGTTGAACGTTGTCGTTTTGTTGGAAGATGAGAAAGTGACATTTGACTCATTGATGTTGTGACACCTGTTGTTGGTCTTATTTCTCGTTTACGTTTAGTTATCGTCGTGGTACGTTGAATATTTTCATTTTCTACATGATTACGTGTAGATATAAGTTGTTCTACATCCATATTAGAAACAGTCGATTGTTCATCATTATTTCCTTGTTCGCTAGTATTATAATTATTGATTAATGTTGCAATTGTTTCACGACTTAATCCTCGTTTACGAAGTTTTGCTCTGAATCGTTGCAGTTTACGATTGCCTCGAGATTTATTCGTCTTTTTTTGTTTGTGCTGTTTTTGCTGCTGATTTCGTTGTTCAGGTTGTGAAAGTGGTAGCCGTTGTCGTATAGGTTGTGAGAATGATCGTTGCTGTTGTTCATGTGTTAGTACTGGTATTGATGAAGAAGGAATATTAGATGGAACATGTTGCTGTACTCCTCGCAAAGCTTGAAATCTTCGCATAATCTCATCATTATCGTTACTCATTATAAATATGATA